CGCTCTGCGGGACCTGTCATCACATCTGTCATTCTGGACACCCCTCCCCGATCCCCGACAAAGCCAGACCGAAATCTCCAGGCGCCTCATGATGACAATCATGAAGATGTAGCAATCGGGGAAGCAGTGTCTGCCCCGATGTCTGCGCAGGCCTCTAGCCGTAGCGACGCCAACATCGGCGATCTCCATTCAGGGGCCAAGGGCAAGGCTCGAGCCTTCGATACATCTGAAGCTGGCACATCCGCGTCCTCGCAAGCTCTTCCTCTTCATCCACTCGCGACACGCGAGAGAGCAGCATCCAGAGATCCTGGAACCAATCTGCCCCCTTATGGCAGTCGCTCTCAAGATATTTCGCCTACGCCCTCTCTCGAGCCTCCGCCGCCTGTTCCCCCAAAGTCTCCTAGACATTCCAGAATCGAGGTGCCAACCGATTATGGATCTGTGAGCAATCTTCAGGACTATTACACTGTTAGTGAGGCGTCAGTGCCTTCACGCCCCAGCGAAGCGTCTCGCGAGAGCGCTATCCAGAGCTTGAGGACGCGAACGGGCGCATGGGCGCTGAAAGCACGAACCACACCTCGCAGTTTCCGCCCAAGCACAGCCGACACAAGCTCCACGCAGACCGCAACTGCGCCTGGTAGCGATAACAACTCGCGGCTTGGAGTAGGGTCGGAGACCAGGGATGGTGCTATTTCACCTGCTCTCAAGGACGGACGCTCTTCTGAAACACGAGGCTTGCTTTCAAGCTCTTTCTTTAACCTAGTCAGAGGTCGCAAAACTTCTGACGCTGGTTTGGAGAGAGCGAAAAGCCCAGTCATGAACGGTGCAGCTCATCCGCAGCTTCTACTGGGAGGAGAGGGGATAGACGGCGGGTCATTGCGAAACAATGAAGACCGTCCTGGGAGCCGACTGAGGCTCCAGGCTCGCGATGCAGAGGCTGTGGACGACAGCACAGACCTGCTCAGAGAGATGCTCGGCGATCTGGAAAAGGAGGCATTGCGCGAAGAACGAATCCAAAAGACTTTGGCCTCGCGCTCAGCTCATGCACCCAGCGCGCCAAGCAGTCGAGCAGCGTCTGCGCTTGGCTTTGTTACTGCAGGTTCGCTGGGACGCAGTGTCAAACGTAGCCTAGGGCGGCCCGCATCAAACAGATCCAGATCAGGTAGCATCGACTCGAAAAGTGTCGCAAGTGCATCTGGCAAATCAGATACCGGCAAATCGAACAAAGCTAAAGAGAAATCGCCCCTCATGGTGGATGGGCAACCATTCGAGAATCCAGCGAATAGTAGCAGCAGGCTCATACCGAAAGCATTCGGGAGACTGCGCAAATACTCTGAGACGGACACGACCAGCCGCGCCTCGAATGAGGCTGAGGAGCAACCTTTTAAGAAGCCCGCGTACGATCTCGCCAGTCAGCCTGCGCCTGCGTCTGAAGATGTCGTTCCCAAACAGGCTTCTTTGCTGCCCGATGCCATCGCAAATAATGTGGCCAAGCCCAATGGAGTCGGTCGGAGTCGTAGCGACACCGCAACGAGTGTTGCGACGAGCTTCGCGGCATTAGAGCATTCGACGCGCGACCGAAGCGACACAGTCACGACAACAGCCACCAGCTCAGCGCCTGGTCACAAAGCTACTGATGCTCTCGACGCGGCTCGCGCGCCTGAGAGACTGAGCAAGATGTTCGGTCCAGAAAATGTAGTAGATGCTTCTGGAACGGCATTAGCTGAGAGCGAGCCGCCGCCAGTCGACGAGCAG